TGTGACCGTAGCTCTAAGCAGGCACTGGCGGTCGTAGAAGCGGGATCTATGCCTGGTTTGTAGCGTTCTAAGCATTATATTTTGTGGAACTGACGAGGACCTGCAGGTGTCGCAATGAACAAATGTACATAAAGGTAATGTACTGTAAGTTTCATTATGTAATCAATTCGTGTTGGAAGGGAAATGAATTTATTTTTAAGGATTGTTTTTTTTTTTTATATTCTTTTACAGCTTGCTCATTAAATAGTATCTTTGACCTAACTTAATGCTTCTTTGCTCTGTATTTTTAAGGCTGTAAAACTGAATATGTTTCTTTCTTTCTTGTAATTAAAAAAGTAAGGACCTGGTGTATAATATAAAGTTACAAAAAGAGCTTGAGGGTTCTGTGCAGTATCTTTGCTAGTCCTAGAACTGCACTTTTCCGGACCGAGATGTCTGATGTATTTCTAGCGACCTGCTGTAAACACCCCTTAGGTTTGGAGGTCACTGTCCTGAGTGCCCTAATGACCACAGGTACCACTGATGCCTTGATCTTCCATGTTTTCTCCAGCTCTTCTCTGAGCCCCTGGTATTTCTGTAGTTTCTCATGTTCCTTTTTCTTGATGTTGCAGTCACTTGGTATTGCTATGTCAACCACAATGGTTTTTCTCTGCTTTTTGTCCACAACCACAATGTCTGGTTGGTTTGCCATTACCATTCGGCCATCAATTTAATTCAGTTCAATTAAACAAATTTACAGAGCCCTGTTTTGTGTCTTTATTATTCAATCAAAAAAGAAGTTGCTTCAAACAAACAAACAAAAGAATCAATAAAAAACTAACTTCATTGAAAAGATAATTGTTTCAATCATAGAAAAATAGTTTTTAAATGCAAATAAATTATTTGAAACTCCAAAAATTGCATTTGAACACTTTTTTTTACTGGTGAAAATGTGCTCTTTGGTTAAGCCAGCATGGAGAAAGACTGCTAGGTCTGATTTAAAACACTTTTTAGAAAAGGCAAATATGAATGAACAATCTGGGATTCACATGGAAAATAATATAGTCTAAATTTTCTAGATGTTTGTTAATCTACATTGTTGCTCATAAATAAACACAGTCTCAGAAAATAGTTTTTATATATTAAAAAATATAATGCTGACCAATAGATTCTCCATTATTAAAGAGGTACATTAGTACTTTAGGTTTGTGAAATAATATTGGACCATGCAAAACAGATTTACCTTCACAAAGCCTCAGAAGGAAGATTTATGTACAAAATGTAAAGCGGTTCATGAAATTATGTTTTGTTTTTTGTTGTTGGCATTCATATAAATATACTGGTGTGATAACTTAGTATAGGTCTGGCTGTTTTTTGGCGTCTATTTTGAATTTATAGCACCCCCCCCCCAACAGAAAACTCCACCTGCTGCCACTGGCTGGATGGAAATGATAAACACAGACATGTATGTATGTAGTTTTTATTTTCCTTTTACAGATGCACATGTCAAGTTTTCAGTTTTTTAAATATTCGATGAATTAGATCTACTGCGATACAATCGCAGTAGTTCTAATCCACACATGGTGCACAAATTATTGTACTGCCTGCACGCTCTCATTCGCATTAAAAAAAACACCACCTCGCAAAGTCTAAAATCCGGGATAATTTATCCGACTCGCAAGCATCCGTGAACCACGATCTATATCAGCGAGACTTGGGATGTCTGAGTATATGATCACATATCACACTCCTACACTCTGTACTTGTACTCGTCGTCTCCCGCTTTATCCGGAACCGGGTCGCGGGGGCAGCAGACTAAGC